CTCTGATAACAACTTAATGGTTAGGACACAGACCTGTGGGTTACAGATGCTAATGATAATGCTCGTGTGGGATCGGAAACTGGATCTGCATTGTCTCCTGCCGGGCAATACACATTTTTTTGCAAACATCGGTCCAGATATGGGATTAGGACCAGCCTACCTGGAAGCGGCTCTTCCCGGTGGCGCAGTGGAAGTCCTTCTTGTTGGCGAACAGGCCCGAGGGCGACCTGAACACCCGCACGGACCAGCCCACCCAGTCGTATTTGGTCCGTAGCCGCTCCACCACCAGGTCAGCTAGCTGCTGGTTGCTGAGGCCGGGCGCCCGGTCCCTCACCAGCCGCCGGCAGTCCTGCTCGGCCTGTTTCGGGAATCCGACGATGCACTCCCGCACGGCGGCGTCGATCTTGGCCTGGACGTAGGGTTGTCAAAAGTATCGATACTCAAAAAAAAAAAGTATTGATACTAAAATGTTGTATCCGGATACGATACTCATTTTCAAAAGTATCGATACTACCGCGCCCCTTCTCTCTGATTTATTTATAGATTTTTTTACGTTGTTTATGGTGATTAACAAGTTGTTAGCCTTGAACTGCTAGCTTCGGCTAATGGCTAATAATAACGTGCTACCATTAATCAAGTACATATCCGACTCTGCCCACATCGAAGTCGGCCATTATAGTTACATTAACAATAGGAAGATTCCAGGCAAGAAAATCCCCACTGCCTCATGGCAATATAGAGATTCATTAAAAAATTGTGAAATTAATCTTTCAAACACTTATTTAAACTCTATCCATAACATTATGTTAAAATAGTGGATGTTAAATAGGTTTGTACAATAAGTCCAAACAAGTTTAACCAAAAAATATTTATTTCTCACAATTATGAAGGGTTAGGGTTAGGGTCAGGGTTTGGGTTAGGGTTAGGGTTAGGGTTAGGGTCAGGGTTAGGGTTAGGGTCATTAATGCGGGCCACCAGTCACGACAACATCAGTAACAGGTCAGTTTGAAATTAAAGACACTAACCTGTCAAAATTCATTTCAATTTTGGGGTCTTTTTTTAGTCCTTGTGGTATCGAAAATGGTATCGAGTATCGAGTATTTTCCTGAGTATCGGTATCGAGTTGAAAATTTTAGTATCGTGACAACTAGGGATGGGACGGTTTCTGAAAACCGTTGGGTTCTGTCTCGGTTCGATTCGCGTGTGTTGTGTTCGGTTCATGCTGCTCCTTTTTCTCAGAGGGAAGCGTTTACACTCCAGAGCAGAAGGGGGCGCTACTGCGCCCAAAGCCAACCTCCAGTAGGAAACAAGAAGAAGAAGAAGAAGCAGCGTAGCCGATAAAAATCAGACCGCCAGCAGCAGTTTATAGTTCTGCTGTATGGACCACTTTGCATTTAGAGGGAAGCACATGTTGGAATTAGCACTGTTTCCTCTCTGGGAATGCCAGAATCTCACCTACTTTTAACCTAAGACCGTCACAATAATGTATCAAATGTCAGACTGCTTTTTTCTTTCAGTTTTAACCTGACTATACAAGACATAATAGATTTTCCGAACAATCAACATATACCGAACCGAACCGAAAACCGTGACCACGAAACCGTGAATCGAACCGAACCGTGGATTTTGTGAACCGTCCCACCCCTATGAAGCCCATGTTGGAATTAGCACTGTTTCCTCTCTGGGAATGCCAGAATCTCACCTACTTTTAACCTAAAGTAATGTATCAAATGTCAGACTGCTTTTTTCTTTCAGTTTTAACCTGACTATACAAGACATAATAGATTTTCCTAACCATCAACATTAGGGTTGTCACGATACTAAAATTTTCAACTCGATACTCGATACCATTTTTGATACCACAAGGATAAAAACAAAGACCCCAAAATTTAACTGAATTTTGACGGGTTAGTGTGTTTCATTTCAAACTGACCTGTTACTTATGTTATTGTGACTGGTGGCCCGTATTAATGACCATAACCCTAATCCTAACCCTAACCCTAGGGTTAGGTGGTATCGATACTTTTTAAAATGAGTATCGTATCCGGATACAACATTTTAGTATCGATACTTTTTTAAGTACTTTTTTAAGTATCGATACTTTTGACAACCCTAATCAACATATACCGAACCGAACCGAAAACCGTGACCACGAAACCGTGAATCGAACTGAACCGTGGATTTTGTGAACCGTCCCACCCCTACATGTGACAACCCTACCTGGACGGCGGCCATCTTGTTTGCCCAGGTCTTCAGCAGGGCGTCCTCCTCCCCGTATCCCTTCAGGGCGGCGTGACCCAGCAGGGCGATGAGCCCCACGCAGAGCAGGTTCTTCAACCGGGCGCAGAAGTCCTCCACCGGGCGCCGGCCCTTTTCCTCGTAGTTCACGATCACGTCCAGGAGGGACTCCCCCGAAAACGTGTCGCCCGTCACCGCGCCGAAAAGGGAATGCAGGTTCTTGTCCCCGCCGGTTACCTCGAAGTGCTCCAGGAACAGCTTCTTCTTCACCTCCCTGAACTTGGGCTTGGCGTTGAGGATGTCCATGTACTTGCGGAATTGATTCGTGATGTTTTCCTCCACCGAGAAGTAGGTCGCGTCCAGGCTGCTCCGTTTGATCTCCTCGTTGATCCTCTGGAGCTCCTCGGAGATCACCTCCAGGTAGGGATGCAAATTATCGATTAATTCATTAATCATTAGTTGATTATCTTATCGATCGACTTTCGATTCATTGATAAGCGGCGTTTTTCACCTGAGTTTTAGGGCTTCAATAGGGCTTTAATATAATTGAGGTATTATATTACATTAGCCAACATTATGATACCATAATTATATTGTATTATATTATACATTCCTCAAGTAATTATGCATTAGGAGAAGAAAGCAGACACGTTTTTAAGGTAAAACAAAATCTTTAATTTAAAAAAAACCTGGCTCAGTTCTTGCATGATAGCGCTCATCAACAAACAGTCCAGCAGTTTGTTGATGAGCGCTATCATCTCTCCGGCTGATGCTAATGCTAACGGATAGGTGGCTATGCTAGCGAGCTAGCTGGCTAACGCCCCAACGTTCTTGTTTTTGTGGTCGCGGACAGTCGCTATGACAACCTTCTTTGCCTGAATTAACAATATTGAAGTCGTCCCACACCGCACTTCTTTTCGCCCGCTTCATTTTGTTTTCAACCCCGGTCTCTCTCGCGACACGAGGCGTGTTCTCGTTCTCACGCCGTGTTCAAGTTACAGTAAAGCGCTAGCACCCTGTAGCGGTTAATCGTGATTAATACATTTTGATCGAGCAACCTGATTATTTTTAAAGCTATATACATTAAAATTCACAGACCTGGTAAAATTCAAGACAGCGCAAGTAATGTATAAAGTAAAAAACAAACTAGTGGCTAAAAATATAAATGAATTGTTTCAAGAACGAGATGAAAAATATAACTTTAGAGGAGATGCAGTATTCAGAACGAAGACGGTACGAACAACGATGAAAAGAATGACTATATCAAGTAGTGGAGTGGAAAGTTATGGAATAGTTTACAGCCGTGTTTAAAGCAGAGTGTGAACATAAATTTGTTTAAGAGAAGGTACAAAAAATTACTTTTGGATAAATATGTAGACGAGGAAAGATTAAAAAAACAGGTAGATTAATATGGAAGAGTGAATGTAACTAGTTAAATGAGCAACTTAGGTCACTTGAATCATTAGGGATGGGAAACTTAAAAGTTTATACTTCGTCCCATTCCTTTTCGAACAATTTATTATGGTTTATGTATTCATTGTGTTGTGTTGTATTTACACATCTTATATTGTTTTGTTGTTGTTCGAATAAACTGAACTGAACTGAAAAAAAAAAAAAAAAAAAAAAACCTCTTGATCGACAATTAACTCATTGACTGGCAGCCATTTTCAGAACAGAGAGTCGCTCACTGCCAGAGTTTTTTGAGAATTTTGACTGATTTTTCAAGAGCCACAGAATAGTTTGTGCTATGACTATGTAAACACCGAACACACCAAAAGAAAGAGTAGACTCTCTTCTTTCATCAGGAAAAAAGATTTTGTTTCTACCTTATTCCGTTCTTCTTCGACGTGCGTCTCACCGGCGCCATTTCTCTCATAGCGAACTATTGCGTTTGTTTTTATTTGCTTACAATCTATGCTAATCTCCCATCAAAAGTGGCACAGCTACCTAGAGGGTACATTTGTTAGTCCATAATCTGTCTAGAAGCCGATATTTACGGAAAAACTTTAGCCGATCGTCCCCCAAGCCACTCGCATTGAAAAAAATAAAAGACGTCCATAGACGTCTTTGGCAGCGAATGAGTTAATCTAAAGTCGATTAACCGTTTGCGTCCCTACCTCCAGGCGGTCGCGCACCTTCTGGAACTGCTCCCTCATGTAGGCCGCCTCCTTGCTCTCCACGTTGTCCAGCGCCAGCCTCACGATGGGCGCCGCGATGGAGAAGACGGGGAACAGGTCGCCCGCCATGCTGGCCACCACCTCCGCGCCCTGCTCGAAAACCTCCATCACGTTCTCCACCAACCCCTTCTTCTCCGAAACGAGCCTCTGGAGCTGGTTCTCCATCTTTATAGACGTTTATCTCTCAGGTTGAAACTGGAAAGAAGAAAAAAAAAAAAAAAAATTCTCAGCATTTCCCACCCAAATATTCAAGTCAATTCAGTTAAATTTCATTTATATAGCGCCACATCACAACAACAGTTTATTTATTTATTTATTTATTTATTTATTTATTTAATCAGGACAGTGCACATTAATGAACAATCTCATACAGATTGTAAATGAGCCAGATTATAGCATAGTTGCTAGTTTACATCTGTCGTCCTGAGGCAGGAAGATCAAACAACACAAAATCACAAAATACAAAATCAGTCCAAACACACGTTCAGACAATGACATTACAAAATTAAAATTAATTAAATTCAATTCAATTTTATTTATATAGCGCCACATCACAACAACAGTTGTCTCACAGCGCAGCTCAGGACAGTTTGTTTACGAGGGAGAAAATGAGCCAAAGTGTGAGGAGATGAGTTAGTTTCTGTTCTAGAGGGATTATTTAAACCTATTTGTCCCTGTAAAATAATCTGCCCCCACTTTATTTTGAATAGAGAGGAATTCACCTCCTCCCATATCCTCATTTCTCTGTCTTTTATTTAGAAATGTGTTTTATTTCACATCAGAAACTTGGGATACGACAATAACAACAACAAATGTACATCTTTCCAACTATTAATCCATCCACCCATCCAACTATTATTCATCCATCATCCAACCATCCATCCATCCATCCATCCAACTATTATTCACCCATCCATCCATCATCCATCCAACTATTATTCATCCATACATTCAATTTAAATTTTTCAATTCAATTTTATTTATATAGCTCCACATCACAACAACAGTTGTCTCACATCTTTCCAAACAGAGCAGGTCAGACCCTACTCTGAAGTTAACTACAGAAACCCAACATTTCCCACCATGAGCAAGCACTAGGCGACACAGGCAAGGAAAAACCTCCTTTTAACAGGCAGAAACCTCGAGCAGAACCATGGCACAAATGAATATCTCCCTTTTAGAGTTGTCAAAAGTATCGATACTTAAACGTTGTATCTGGATGCTCATTTTCAAAAGTATCGATTGTGATAAACTTACTTGTTTATCTTAAAATAATGAGTTCCTTCTTGTAGTTTCAACTCCGGTCTTTTATTGAACAGGTGCTCTCTTAACACACGTCTGAATAGAACATCGGCTACCGTACAACACTTTCCGTGTCTTAACCTAATTGTCGTAAAGTGTTTGTCGCAAAACACATTCTCTGACATCGATACCCTCCCTCCTTCTCTCTGATTTATTTATTTATTTATTTACGTTGTTTATGATCATTAACGTGACGTTAGCCTTGAATTGCTAGCTGCGGCTAATGGCTAACAATAACACGCCAACATTAATCAAGTCTGCAGGAAGCCAAAGACGGATATCCAACTCCCCCACATCCAAGTCGGCCATTTTGATTAGGTCACCAATAGGAAGATCCTAGGCAAGAAAATCCTAATTGCTTCATGGCAATATAGACATTAATTTAAAAATAGTTAAATTAATCTTGCAAACACTGAATTAAACTCTATCCATAATATTATGTTAAAATAGTGTATGTTAAAGAGGTTTGTACAATAAGTCCAAACAAGTTTAACCAAAGAATATTTATTTCTCACAATTATGAAGGCTGGAGGGTTAGAGTTAGATCTAGGGTTAGGGTCAGGATTTGGGTTAGGGTTTAGGGTTAGGTTTAACTTTAGGGTTAGGGTTAAAATAGTGTATTGTGTTAAATAGGTTTGTACAATAAGTCCAGACTATTTTATCCAAAAAATATTTTTTTCTCACATTTATGAAGGTTTAGGGTTAGGGTTAGGGTCAGGGTTAGGGTTAGGTTTAGGGTTAGGGTCATAAATGTGGGCCACTTTAACATCAGTAACAGGTCAGTTTGAAACCAAAGATACCAACCTGTCAAAATTCAGTTACATTTTGGGGTCTTTGTTTTAAACCTTGTGGTATCGAAAATGGTATTGAGTATCGAACATTTTCCTGAGTATCGGTATCGAGTTGAAAATCCCTACTCCCTTTTTAAACTTTTGATTTAGCAGATTTACTCACAGCTGCACACTCGAGTGTCTGGACTCCGGCCTCCTCCTCTTCTTCTCTTACAACACAGCAAAAAGTTGATAAGGAAAGACAGAAAACAGCCAAGTGAGCTTCAGTTTTAGGACACACCCAGTGAGCAATGAGTCAACAATGCCTTCTGGATCTGGCCGGGACCAGAAAGGGCCGAGCTCTGTGTCCACCTAAAGGTCTTATTGCTGAAATGTTAATATTCCTGCAAGAGGGCTTATTCAGAACGCTGTTTATCTTAAAGAGGACTTCTCCCTCTTCTCAAAAAAATATTTTTTTATCAAGTCGATGCAACAACAAAACCCACAAAGAGCCCTGCGCCTCGCCCAGAGTGGCTCTCAGACACTAAACTCACATGTTTAAATTAGAAAGTTGACATGATAAACGCTGGTCAGTTATTGTCTTACTATCACAGTTATTATCTGAGAACTTTTCCTGATCAATTCAATCAATTCAGGTAATTTGCGAGACCTGGAAGGCCCAAACAGATGAGTAATTTTCCCTTATTTTACACACTTTATTTTCCCTTCTTTGCTATCACGGTATGCTATGCTATGACAATATTTGGAAATCTAAAAAAATAATTTATTTTAAAACTATGTAGCCGCTAAGATAACAAGTTTAATAGTATAAAATAGTATTAAAATAAAATAAAATAATAATTTAATAAAAACCTTAAAATGACTTGAAGGTAAAGGTGAAAAGTGGAAAGGGATGTTTCTTATTTTTTTAGAGCTGGGTTGTTTGAACTACTGATGAGTCTGTGTATTTTCCTAATTGTTACTTTTTGTTAGTGAGCTAAGCTAACAAGTCAATCACCAGATTAGTTTCATTTTTGTAAAACTCATTTGTAAAAGTTTCTTTTCATTTTATAAAATGTAAATGTTATGTTGTGGATCTTTACATCTTGAGGAAAGTATTATTAAGGTTTTAAGTTTGTGCTCTATCAGTGTGTGGAGCTAATAAATCTTCCAGGTATAGCTGATTAGCTTAGCGGCTAAACTAGCTTTAAGAAAACTAATTCACCTGGGTATATTATCAGCTAAACTATCTTAGAAATAACACAATTTAGCTTGTTATATTAGCGGCTAAAATTGTTTTAAGATAAAGTAGTTTAGCTGAATAGCTTAAAAAACAAAGTAGAGCTGCTAAGCTAACAGCTGCTCTGATAGGCTAAGTCTTAGCCGATTAGCCACTAAGAGTGCTGTAATGAAATCCTACAGAAGTTAAGACACTATACATTTACAAGAACATTTTTACCACCTATTAAACACATAGGCAAGAAATTTGAAGGTGGGAATTGAATGTCCAGCTTTGAAGAAAAAGTCAAAATCGCTAATGCTACAAATTTGAAACTAAATTTCTATGGCAATTTAGCTCTGGTTGTCTTTTCTCTTTTCAATATTAATGAGACACATTTATCTGAAAAAGATTACTCTAATGTTTAATCTAACTCTTTAATATGGTAAATGAAAACCTTTATGAAGCAAAGACTAACAGGAAGTCCGTAAAGTGTTAAATTTAGGGACAGAAACATGCAATTGGACATTTTCTGTTTAACCAAGCTAAAAAAAACCCAAATGCTCCATAAAAAGTTAATGACAGATCTGTTTTATAACAGATTAAGGCTGGTAATCATTGTTCCTGGGGACCTACTTACTGTATTTTGGGTTAAAAACAAGAAGTCTGGCTCATCTGGAAATGTTTAATCTAATAGACAAAACTAATCTGAATGCCAGGAATCACAGAAAGAGCTGACCGGGGATTCTCCCTGAATCCTGGACATGCTCGGACATGTCCCAAACATGTCCCAAACCTGGAAACAGGACATTTATGAGAAAATCTAATTATCACGCAAACACCGTCTGGCTGGAAAACATCAGTCTCTCCCTCAACCTCCACATTCCAGCCCTTTTTTTCTTATGTTTTTGTCTCTTTCTAGTGTTAGGATTTGGCTATAAATGCTCACTTTAGCATTGTATGCTAGCACATGATCTATGTATATTACTGATTGTTTTATTTTCTTTTATAACTATATTTTGTGTTGAGGTCTCTGGGTGTCTCCACAGACTCTCTTTTCTCTCTTTTTGTCTCTCTGTTGCATTAGATCCACCTTTAGGTCAACACACACACACACACACACCATTTGTTACCACATTCCTGTCATCTGCATGAATTAGGACCTGGCCTGTTCATGCCCAGAGGTAACTTAAAGAATAAAAATAAATAAAAAACTACATTTCAGCTGCTAAATAAGTCGAGATCTTCTTTAAACCTTTAACTGTGAAGCTTAATAACCAGAAAAGCGGTCAGACTCTTGTTAGAATTTGGCTAAAATGACTCACTTTAGCATAGTATGCTAGCACATGATCTATGCTAATTACTGATGGCTGATACTTATTCTTTGTAGAACTATATTTTTTGTTAAAGTCTCTGTTTCTCTCTAAAGTTTCTCTCTCTGTTGCATTAGATCCACCTTTAGGTCAACACACACACACACACACACACACACACACACACACACCATTTGTTACCACATTCCTGACATCTGCATGAATTAGGACCTGGCCTGTTCCTGCCCAGAGGTAACTGGCCAATAGGACTTGGTTGTGTCCAGTCCTCTTTGAGGAGGCGGATGGAGCCCAGGAGATAATGCCCATCACCCAGATCTCAGGGCTCTTTGAGACCCAGAGAGAGGTTTTAGTCTGTTAGAGCCCAGCTGATACACTTAACTGTGACCAATAAATGTTATTTTTATACTTTTGATCTACTCAGGTTTATTCTCAGGTTTCCAACTAAAGAATCGGGACAACAGAACAAAGGGTTGACGTTAGACTTTTTGAGCGGCCTCTGGCCGCAGCCTGTAGGAGCCTCGGTTGGATGTCCAACTCCTCTCACATCCAAGTCGGCCATTTTGATTAGGTCA